CATACAATGGGTTTTATAATAATGCGGCACATACCACTTTACCATTAAATCTCTCTGTTTTATAACCAAGTGGGACTGGTCAGAGTATTTCCTGGACCCCAAATCCTAGGAGTCATCTTTCTTTTTCCCTCAGATCTCACATCTATCAGCAAATGGTGGTACCTCTCCCTTTAAAATACATTTCCCTCTGGCCATCTCTCAGTCCCCTCTGCTACCACCAGACCACCATCAATTCTCAGCTGGATGGCTGCATTCTCCACACAGAATTCTGCAGGAGGCCTAAAATGAAAGTTAGATCACATTGCTGCCCTGCACTAAAACCCGCTATTTACTTCTTACTCTGTCTTGTACCTGCCTCCTATATTTCCCACCTCTCTCCCTCTCCAGCCACACTTGCCTTAATGTGCTGGTATCACTTCTAATTTGTTACAGCCTCTGGGCCCTTAAATTTACTGTTTCCTCAGTTTAGAATCTACTTTCCTGAGGCCTTCAAATGGTTCAGGCTTTATATCCTTCAGGGCTCCAAATATGCAGAGATGTACCCGAATCCTTCTCTAGATCGACTTCCTCCCTGCCACTCAATACCTGTTTATCCGGCTTCATTGTTTTTCCATAGCTTTTATCATAGCTTCAGTTTATTATTATTATTTATTCCATGTTTCTTTCCCTCCCTCCCTAGCAGGTAAGCTCCTTGGGAGTGGGGACTTGGTTCACTGTTGAATCCTAGAATAGTACTGAGGATGTTAAAGGTACTTAAAGGATATTTGTAGAACAAATGAATGAGTGGTCTGGATCCACTGCATTTGGTAGTATGACTTTTAATTTAGAATATTTAAAATGAGGTATTCTCAGGATCCCAGGCTGCCTCTCAGGATGGAGTACTGATCCAAACATGGAGTGTAAAAGGAATGTCGCATTTGGGTTGACAGCCTCATTCTCACCTCAGGAGCATGTGCTGTGCTGAGAAGAACATGGGCTTTGGAGACAGAAGTGGGTGGGAATTCTGGTTGCCTCTGGTTTTGGCTATTACTTCACCTCTGAGAGTCTCAGTTTTCTCTACTAGAACAAGAAATAAGTTTTATTGTGTGAAGCCATGGAAATTTGGAAGCTGTTCCGGTCATCACTGTTAATTACCCTAATAAATTAGGACCATGGGCCTTGCTCCTCCCATATGTCTGGAAACCCTCCTTTTCCTAGACTTCTTTTCCTCACAAGTCTTCTCTTCTTAGACCCATTCTAGGATCTTCATTGGACTCCTCCAAGAACAGTAAGACAAAAAAAAATTTTTGCCTCAACTTTGTATTTTGAAAATTTACAAACCTTCAGAAAACGTGAAAAAAGAGTAAAACTAACACTGATGTGAATTTCACTTAAATTAACCAATTGTAACAATTTTGCCATATTTGAGCACACTCATGTCTCTCTACAGGCACACACACAAATTCAGTAATTCTGACACTTCACACCTAAATATTTCATCATCCATCTCCTTAGAATGGACCTTCTGTTACATAACCACAATATCATTCTTACATAAAATGTTAAGCATTAAGTATCATCTCTTAGTCTATAGTCAAATTCCCCCAAGTAGAATTTATTTATAGAATTTATTTGATCCAAGATCTATTGCATTTGGTTATATCATTTTTAGTTTAAAATATTTTCTCTGCCTTTTCCTGCTTTTTTTTTTTTTTTTTTTTCCCTAGAAAATTTGAAGAGCCCAGGCCAGATAATTTAAAGACTATCCAGCAGTCTGGATTTGTCTGATTATTTCTTCATGATTAAATTCAGGTTAAACATTTTTTACCAGAATATTGCCCAGGTGATGGTATACTTCTCTTAGTGTCCGTTTGTCCCCTTGTTGATGATGTGAAATTTGACCACTTCCTTTATGATAGGGTTGACTAGATTGCCCCAAGGTAAAAACATAAACATAAAGCCACTGTTAAACATTGTTGAGCTTAGTTAAAAAAAAAAAACAACCCAAGACAACAACAACAACAAACAGGTCATGAATCCTAACACATTGAATAAATAAAAAAATAAAAAAACTGGCCCTGGCCAGTGTGGCTCAGTTGGTTGAGTATAGTCCCATGTAGCAAGAGGTCACAGGTTTGTTTCCCAGGAGGGGGCTTGTAGGAGGCAAATGATCAATGTTTCTCTCTCATTGATGCCTCTCTCTTTTTTTTCTCTCTCTCAAATCAATAAAAACATATTTTTAAAAAGAAGGAAATTAAAAAACAAAAACTATAAATTTGTTTAATAAATATCATTAACAAGATAAGAATACAAAAAGGAAAGGTATGAGGTAGGGGAAAGGAAAACTCTTTTATACAGAAAAATGGAGAGGACATGATAAATTGGAAAGCCATTATTTTGCAACTGCAATGTAATAGCTAACCTTGGGTAAATACATCTTATTTGTATAATAAGATCACACAATGATTTCCTGAAATATCTTTAGGCTCTTCTGTGACCTAGGATTAACAAACCTTTGAAATGAAAAGCCTTGATCAGATAAAGAAAAAGCTAGGGGATCCTTCCTTTTGTATATTTTTTCCTTTCTCCCAAAGCTGAAAAAGTGACCATTTACAAGTCTAAGATGAGCAGATTTTCAGTTTTCTGAGCATGGGTTCTTTTAAACTTTTGTCATGAGGCTACAAGGTATATTGGAACAACCTGCACAAGGAGGCTTCATCATAAACAAAATTGAAGACAAATGTCAAATTGTGAGTTAATATTTATTATACATAGATAAAAATCGAATGTCCCTAATATAAATCTTTTATTTCTTTATATTGCTAAAACAGAAGAGAAAAAAAGATCCTGTTTAGTCTGTTGAACTAGATAATGTCTTATTTCCAGCCCAAAGCACATATTTTCAGAGCAGAGTAAAGCCTCACAATGTTTCCTTGATTTCTTTCTAAGAAAACAGGCTAGAGGGTAAAAGTCCATAATAATGTTGCTCCAACTCAGGGCAGGGTCACCATTTCATCTTGCTATGTCTGATCAGTCCATTGTACATCTATTGGCCTGGTATAAATGTTAATAGTACTCCCTTTCACTCTCCAAGGTGTCTAAGTTTGGACTACAATGGTTTCTCTACTTCTGAGACCCCTGATGCTTTTTAAGAAGACTTTATTTGGTTGATGTTGAAGGGTAAATGACGAACTGGAGAGAGGAGCAAGAAAAGACTGGAATGTGATAGGCAGAATAATGATCTCCCTAAAATGTCCTTGTTTTAATCCTTGGTTGTTAGCTTGCATAGCAAAAGGAAAAGTGATTAAGTAGGTTGAAGTAGGAAGATTAGCCTGAGTTATCCAGTTGAGCCCAATCTAATTACATGGAATCCTTAAAATTGGAGAAACTTTCTTGGCCAAGTTATTAGTTAGAAGAAGAAGGGACTATAAAAGAATTCTCAGAAAGATGCAACATTGCAGGACTTTGAAGATGGGATAAAGGGATCATAAGGAATGTGGGCAGCTTCTAGTGGCTCAAAAAAGCAAGGAAACAGATTCTCCCCTAGAGCCTCCTGAAAGGAATACAGCTCTGCCAACATCTACAGAACTGTGAATTTGTATTGTTTGAAGCCATTAATTGTGTGGTAGTCTGTTACAGCAGTAATAGGAAACTAATACATGGAATTGACAGCATTTCTAATGAACCATCAAGGGTTCAGTACGTCATCTATTCATTCAACAAATATTTCAGTTCTAAGTTATCCCTGACCCACTGGTAAATAAGATGAACTTCTCAAGGATGACATGAAATATTAACAAGCTCAGGGATATGTAAGCATGGACGAAGGATATCCCAGGTTGAAGGGATGGCCTGGGTGAAGGTTCAGGCAGGGGTTTGAAAGTATATAGATTAAGGCTGTAAACAGCCAGTAGTACAGTTTGGCTGGACCATAAAATGAATGGGAGAAGAAATAGAAGTCACAGGGGATTCAGTAAATTATCACACTTTTACCAGTTTGGAGGCAAGTGGTAAAAGGTCTAGAATGCCAAACTAAGAGTTTGGATTTTATCCTTCAAGCAATGGGAAGATACTGAAAGTTTTAAAGCAGGGAAGGGGACATAAACACATCTTTGTTTTACAGAAATACCTCCGCTATACCACTGAGAAAGAAACCAAATTTGATTTTGTCCGCTATGTAGGTACTTATCGATCAGAAGAGGCTAGCTTATGCTGTGGTAACCAACGATCCCAAAAGTCTATGCCTCAAGACAAAAGAAGTTTCTCTTTTCCATGCTACATGTCCACCATGGGTCAACATGGGGGATCTGCTCATCTTTTTTTATCTTTTCTCTGAACATAATACTTTATTAATTTGAAAGTGCTTGATAGCATAAAAATTTTAAGGCTAAAGATAAAGCACATAGCAAGAAGCTATTTAAACTATTTTTTGTGACCATTTAGCTAAATATGTTAGTTGAATCTTTGAGAGTTTTCACACAAATGTACAGAAGTTCATACTCTACTAGTACATATGCCTGTGTTTGAACAAAAGGTAACCAATTTCCCCTTAAGCTAGAGCATGGAGTTGAGCTTATTAACCGAACCAAGTGCCATGGGAATGAAAGACGTTAGGCCAAAGAGTAGTGACTAGTGCCAGAGGTCAAGAACATATTACTGTATTCGCTTTCTTGGCTTCAAAGAGTACTAAGGAGGCATTACAAGTGCCAAAGCCCATACAACAGCCAAGGGAAACTGGTAGAAAAGAGGGGAGCTAAGGTTGTTCATGAACATGAAGAGGGAAAGGGATTGCACATTCTCCCAATGCCCTCTATTTTCACATTGGTGAAGCTGACTCTGTACACTCAGCACTCATCACCAAGCTGGTCACAGAGTTTTTATTTTCTCATAGGGATTGAGATTGTTCTGTGCCTAAAAACTGTTTCTTGTTTTTGAGGAGATGTGCTTTTTTTCTTCTTTTCTCCTCCCCCTCCGCATGCCCAAGCCCCTCCCCTATCCCCCAACCCCCATTTACTTTGAAGCAACTGGGAGCTAAGAGCCTAAAGAAGAAGACTCTTTTCATGGGCAATTGTGAGACTTTATACATAGTGCTGGGCCAGGCCCTGGGATGAAAGGGCAACATCCTGGCCACAGGAGCTAGTCCCCTTGGCAGCCACAACCGCATTCTCACAAGGGCCACTGCCTGCAGAAGCATCCATGCGGCTGTGTCAGAAAAAGAGATTGACATAAGGGACTTCTGCTGGGGACACATGTCACACAAATCTGGGTACGTTTAGAAAATACAGACATTAATAGGAATTGTCCTATTTTTTCCTACATGGATCAAGATAGATTTCTTATTTCCTGTTCATTTGTGTAACTGCTTGGACTGTTTCTTTTAAATGTGAATGCCAGGTCAGGGTTAGGTGCAGAGTTAAATTAACTCGTTTATTTTGAAAATTGACATGTGAACATTAGCCATGAATATGTATATGGTTTAAAAACATTCAATAGTTTAGCTGACCTGTAACTTAAGATGGCTCCCGATGAAGGAGATAAATAAATTATATGGGAAGTTAAGACTTAGGGGAAGAGGCAAGAAAATGTTAAGAGAATGGAAATCAAGGTAACCCAGTGGACACTTCATGTCACCAATAAGGGTCATTATTAGAAATAGATGCCTTTGCTAGCTTTAATTAGGGATGCAGGCTGAGGAAGCTATCACCATTTCGTGTTAAAATAAAACCAGTTTAGTCATTAATTTAGCTTAATTATCAACCACAGTGAAGACACCTTTTCACTATGTAAACTGCTTACCCCTGAGCCTCATTCCATGTTTTGGTCTGAGTGCTCCAAGATTGCAAACTGTCTTTTCAGTGTGTGCACAATACATTTTTACCAGTAATTCACTGGCTTTCCTTTGGCTCTTTCTGAACCTTTGGCATTGGCAAGTTGCCTGTTGCTGGGCCAGACGGAAAAAAGCTCTGGAGTATCTCAAAGTGGCAATTAATTACAAGCTGTGTCTGAAAGTAACCCATCCCTTCCACTTTTATCTCATTGATCCCGGCCGGGAAGTCTAGTCCCACTAAGTGGGCAGAAGGAGTAAAATTGGCAACGTCTGGTGATGCTTCGTGACTAAACATCAATAAATATTCATTGGACGAATGAATCAATTGGAAAAAGTAGGCTAGAGGTCATTTGATGAAATCTTATCACGTGGAAATAGAGAACAGGAAGCAAAAGGAGACGGGAGTCAGTGACTAATCAGACGTGCAGGACGTGAAAGAGCAGTCTGATTTTCAGTCCGGAGTGCAGGGTGATGCCAGTAAAACACACACACACACACACACACACACAAACACACACACACGGTAAGGCGGGCATTTGGATGTGTGCCTACGTGTGCGGTTAGGAGAGTGCAGCTGAGACACCTACATTTCCTCACCTTTCGCTGGGTAAAATCTGCACTCTCGGCTTCAGGCCTTTTGCCCTACATACATACACTTGTTTCTCTTTTGTGCCAAGTCGCCGGGACCCGTCTGGAAAGCAGAATGAGTCGCTGTTCTGGGGTGGATGGCCAGAGCCACCACAGGAACTCAGGACGCGAGGCGCTTTACGTGCATCAACTCACAACATTTTGTAGTATAGGGTCATATATGTACGGCGAAGAGAATTGGCAGACTGTCTGGGTGCAATGCAGCTCTGCTGAGCAATCTGGTGCAAATCACTTCGCTGCTCGGAGCCTTCGCTCTTTCCATTTGAAAGGCTGAATACCACCTACACCGAGTTTGGTGAGGATTTTGGGGAGGAAGGGCCAAGAGTCTGATGACGCGTACACACACCACAAACTCACCACCCCACTTCCCCTCGCTCCTGCCGGCGACTGAGAACCAAAAGAGGGGCCCGGGGGTGGGGACGGGAGTGAAATTGGGCTGGGACTTAGCCCCGCCCACGGTCGCGCAGAGAGATGACGTCACGACCGCCCTTCTCCACTCACCTGGAGCCGCGGGAGAAAAAAAAACACTAGACTCGGCGGCTCGCGCGAAGTGATGACGCAACACAACCCGCAGCCTCCGCTGCGCGCTGACGTCACCCGCGGGCGTCCTTGTCCGCCTGGATTCTGACGCTAGTTAGTGGAGCGCGGCAGGGCTTTCTGAGGCCAGTATGACGTCAGCTGATAGGGAACGCGGGCTTTGGCCTCGCGTCTGGAACAACCGGGCCCGACGGCGGCACTGAGGCTGCACGCAGTTGGGGTTGGGTAGCTCCCAGTGCAAAGTAAGTGCTTTCTCTCGGAAGGGATCTTGGAAGAACGTGACCTCTAACCCAAACTTCTTTTGTGGTCGGTTGAATTTATTGGGGTGACGCTGGTTATCAGAATTGTACAGGTTTCAGGTGTGCAGTTCACCACCCCAAGTCAAGTCACCGGACATCACCCTTTATTCCCCCCCCCCCCTCCACCCCGTACTGTCTACTTCATAGAGCTGTATACACCTGTTAGCCGCTACTCATTTCCTGTTCACTAGGCACCCGTGCCATGCGTTCAAGATGACCTGTTTTAAGAAGGTGAAGTCAGAAATATTTTTGTATGCAAATAAAAAACGAACTTTAGTGAGTTTAATTCATTAATGAGAAACCTGTAAGATGTTACGAATCCCTAAAGACCGTAAAGTTTGTAAGGTATTCTGAAATGAATTTACCCTCCATTCAATAGATCAGCAAGTGTTTTGTTGTTGTTTTTTTTACTCAACTTTCAAAATTAGATTCCTCTTCTCTCCATTTTCACAAACGCTATCTCAGTCTGAGCAGAAATTTTCTATGGATGGGACCACAGCCTTCCAATTGACATCACCCCCCCAACCAACTCCCCCCAATTAGCCTTACCTCCCAAATCCATTCTCTACACAGCTTTCAAAGTGATAAAAACAAAACAAACAAACAACAACAAAAAAACTCAGTAAGTATAATCTAGATTATGTTACTCCCGTTCTTAAAATCCACCAATAGTTTCTCCTTTGCCTGGAGAATTAATTCACACTCCTTATGATTGCTTGCAAAGAACTACTACATGATTTCCTGTGCCTCTTCATCTACCTCATCTGACACTTTCTGATTCTCTCACTGTGCTTCGGGGCCTTCTGCTCAGACAAGGGAGGGAGAGCATGTGCTGGGACCTTTTGTTGTGAGGGGTTTTAAAGGCTAGAGGCTTAGGGGAGGTTTTGGAGAGGATCTCAATAGAATATTCATCATTTTACGCAGATGCACCAAAATGAAATTTATTCCCTTAACTTCATCTGTCCTTGGGTGTGGTTGGCACAAAAGGCACCAAATGGATTTCTGTTATCTATCTCCTTGAGTAGGGTGATTTCAGCTGTTTACCCTCTGGTTGGGGGGAAGTGCAAACCATTTACTATTGAGTGTCTTTGGTTACAAAAGATATGGTTTAGTGATTTACGAGATGGCTATATTAATTGCCTGGCTATTTAACTGTCTCAGTTTCCCTATTCTTCGTGTCTTGGCCTACTAGCCAGTCTCAAAGGCAAGGGGAATATTCACAAGGGAAAAGTAATACAGTTCAGATTCCACCTTTACGCAGTCTCTTTTACATAGAAGTCAAACCTGCTTTTCTTCCTCTACTTTCCAGCTCAGTGATTGATGGCCACACCATCATTCATTCAGCTATAAAACCCAGAAGCCTGGGCAACCTTTTCAATTCCAGCCTCATTTTATTTCTCCTATTTAATTACACATCAAACTATTGCCCCCAGTTCTGAAACTTTTCTAGAATTTTACCCTCTTCTTTATTCATATTATTATGGCCTTGCTTGATGTTACAGGAAACACTTCCTTCAATATATTATAGCTTTTTCATTTGCTTTGCAGAGTAGGTAGAATGGACAAACTGTTGAGCAAGCTGAGGTCCATGTGACCCTGTCCAAAAAGAGAAATTATATGTAATGCAATAGGGAAGAAAATATGTCATAGTTGTCAAGTTCCTGTGAGGTATCCTTCTGCACACAGGAGTTATACTTGCTTAGATATTTTTTTATTAGAAAAGAGGGAGGGATGTGTTCTTCAGAGTCCTGAATGAGCTAGAAAGTTGTGATTGGTTATCATAATTGAATCTATTTCAAGTGATGGAAGTGGGTGTGATGGGGTGTCACCACAGGCTCACCATTCCTGCCTCTGGAAGGTACTGGTATAATGTGGCTACTCACTCCCCTGCTGGGCCAGTTTGGCTTGGTGGTGTTCATGCAGAAATACGTGTAATAACTCATGATTAGCATTGTCATAGATAGTGATAGAGTTTCAGGACATGCTACCCCAAATATGGCACCTTGGCAAAGTGAGTGTTTTAAGCTGAAAGAGTCTGAGAAAACAGCAGGAACTGGAAGGTCACTTTGACTCCCCTCTACATCTTCGCCCCTGAAGCAGGCCAAAACACCCTATAACATGAGGGTTTTGTGACCTGGAGAGGAGCAAGACGAAGGGACAGGGAGAAGAATCCAAACAAACAGGTTTTGCTAAGCTTCTCCCAGGTTACTACACTTACTTCATACTTTTTGACCTATCATATTTCCCCACAACTCTCCACTCTTCATCAACCTGGCATAAAAATACTCTGGATTAACCCCTTCTTTAGGTCTTCATTTCCTATCCTGAAGTTTTCCATGTCACGTAAACTTTATATGCTTGCTCTCAGGGCATACACCTAGATTGCTGGTTTGATTTCTTGTTGGGGCATGTAGGGGAGGCAACCAATTGATGCTTCTCTCTCTCATAGATGCTTTTTTCTCTAAAAGTCAATAAAAACATATCATCGGGTGAAGATTAAAAAAAATTAAATGCTTTTCTCTTGTTAATCTGACTTTGTCAGTTTAGTTTTCAGACCTATCCCAGGTAGGAGGACCCAGAAAAATGTTTTCCTCCCCTACAATAGGTAATAAAAGTAAAGTTAAAGACACACACACCCTTTCAGCTTATTCTACGTCCTTAAACTACTATCTCTTTGCAATTAAACTAAAACCTAGACTAGTAAGGTAGAAATTGCAGTTGCTTACCTAACAGTCATTTTTTCCCCTCTTACAATATTTGGCACATAGTAGAACAATTATTTGAAATTCAAATTTAACTGGAAATCCTGTATTTTATTTGGCAACCCTAACATTTATATATTCAACGGTTATACTCCTTAGTAACATGTCCTTATAGAAACACTAGAGGCCCAGTGCATTGGTAGGATCCCTAGTGGCTACCAGCTGCCAGCCAGGTACTCCCTCCCTTCCCCTGGTCAGCCCAGACCCTGGTGGAACTCCCTGGCAACTCCCATTTGGGACAATTTGCATACTATGCTTTTATTACATAGGATAGTCAGATTAGTAAACAAATAATTTTTTAAAAAGAACTTGTGAGCATTTATGTCCAATATCAAGTCCTCAAGGTCCATATTCCCAAAAGTCCGGGTTCCGAGTCCATGGCTCCAACTTTGTGCACATTGAGAGCCATGTTATATGGCAGAAAGTATAGCACCTGCAGGGTCATGTTAGCAAAGGAAGTAAGGTGGTTGTCCCAGATGAGTCCCCTGAGGGGAAAGTGTGATTCTGAAGATCCATTTAGTGAAGACAAAATGACATCAGCCAGCCTCCCCACCTTCTGCCCGAGAGAGAAATGATACAGACAGACCTGCTTATCCAGGTCCTTCCAGTTACCACCTCTGGGTCTGAAAGGGCAAGGGGAGGGACAAACAGAACTTTCACTGAGAGATCCCTCCCTGGATGGGGACCGGGGAATCTGGGCATAAGAACCATGATCTAATTCTCCTTCCTCTTGCAGATCTCTTGCCAATGCCTCCTCACCACCAATATTTTCTGATTGGACCTGGAGGTCAGTGTGCGAGAGAGGGTGAGAGGAAGTCCACACTGGTCAGTCTTCAGGGGAACAGAGCAAGACAAAAGTAAGTGGAGAATGTATCTGGAGAAGCAAAGGAAAAACACTCCACATACTTTCTGAGGTTCTGGGTCTTGCCAGCATTATACCTCTCCTTGTTTCCTTCCCTACTGCTGGGAAAGAACCAGCAGAGATGGGCAGAAGAATCCTGCCTAGGAAATTAATTTCATAATTTAATGAAATTAATTAAAGCCACATAGAATGGACTCAGCATGGCTATCCGTAATTTTTGGATTATGCTTTGGGAATGATTTTTTGGTTTCTTTCACTACCCCAACCAGGGAAGGGTGCTCTGTCCTGTGACAATATTTTATCAGTACACTGTGACTGTATTCTACATGGTGTCTTATCTTATGTGCTCAGAGGTTAGCCAGGGCTAGCACAGAGTAAATGTCGAATGAAAGGATGAATGAATGCATGAATGCTTAATCAGAGGATGCTAAGGAGTTTAGGGAGATAACAGTATCTTGCATTTCTTTCACTCTCCCACAAGATGGCAGCAATTACCATGGACCAATTTTCCATGGCTGGAACTCAGCTCATCTTAATTGAGTGCACTATGAGTACAATAAGTCTATTTTTCAAATCATTATATCAAGGACAGAATAATACACTGATGGCAAGGAAAAGAAAATATAAAACATAATATGTACTATCACTAATATTATTGGATGTGGCACAATAAATTTTACTTTAAAAAGCATTTGGGAAATGTGTGTTACCGAATTTGTGAAAGAAAAATAGTCCTCTGTGCAAATGTTAGATAAACAAATGAATTATCTCTGCCCCATCTGGTACCTAGCTGTTATCTAATCTCCTAGAATCACTCTGTTGGGCTCTTCCCACACACCTGGCTCTGTTTTCTTGCTCTCAAAAAGTTCATAGGTTCCAGGTTCTCAGGTGGCTTGCTTCTTATTCCAGCCACTTCAGTCTGTGCAGAGACCATACAGTGCTTCTTATGCTGGACAGTGAATGGTTAAACGCATCATGGTGTCAGATCATATTCACTTCTGAAAAAGGACAGGACTTTCAGAAAATTGTCACTGAGTAAGTATTCTTTACAGGCTCAGAGATGAGAGTGTCCCAGTGAAGTTGAGGGTAGCTTAGTTTTTTTAAAAGTATTAAAAAATTATTTACACACACACACACACACACACACACACACACACACACGGGGCCGAGTGCATGAATTCATGCACATTGAAAGGAACTGTGGGCCATGAGGCTGTGGTGGGCACAGTGATGGGACTTGGCCAATCCTCTGTGCCCTCACCCAGCTCCTCCCACAGCAGCCCTGGGTCACCTGTCTGCCAACAGCCCAGTTCCCACCACCGCTGCTCCCACCTGCTGAAGGTGCAAATGATTGGGGCCAGTGCTGTCAGCAGGTGCCAGTGGCAGCTGCTGCCTCGATGGTCCCTCAGGAGCAGGGGGAGGTGGAGTATCCCTCAGAGGCGATCAGGGCCTGCAGCCGCTGCTCAGGCCTGCTGACGGCGCTTAGCAATCTGGACCTGCGCTAGGTGCCAGCAGTGGCTCCGTCACCAGTAGCTGATGTGAGCAGGGCCAGTGCAGGCAGCAAGGGTGAGCATCAGATGGGACCACTACGCTCAGGAGCAAAGAATTTTTAGTAACTATCAAAGGCTTGCCCAGATGACAGCGACCCGGCTCCTTGTCTTGGTCTGGCATCCCTGCTCACCTGCTCCACCATCCTACTGCGGCTGACGCCAGCCATGTTCTGTGCACGCCCCTTGGTAGTCAGCATGCCCCTTGGTGACTGGTTGTTCTGGTTGTTCCACTGTTTGGTCTGTTTGCATATTAGCCTTTTATTATATAGGATTATTTCAGAGAGGAAGGGAGAGGAGGAGAGAGAGATAGAAACATCAATGATGAGAGAGAATCATTGATTGGCTGCCTCCTGCAAGCTCCCTTCTAATGATCAAGCCCTCAACCAAAGGCCACTGAACAAAACTGGCTTGGGCCTTAAAAGTATTTATAGTTTCTGAGTGTCTTAGAAATCAAGAGCATGGTTCCTACATTAAAAAAAATTAAACTTGCAGAAATCTTGTTGGATTTTGCTACTTTTGCACTGCAAGACTTGTCTTCAAATTTACCTATTCTGGAATTAGCACATATGTGCCCTGTAACTTTAAGCAGAGCTATGTCCCAGAGACATGTCTGTTAGTAACACACAAGCATAGGAAGGATGAGGAGGTGGGAGAGAATACAGAGAAGAATGATCACAGAGCACAGTTGTTCTGGCCCCTGGGCAGTAGAGAGAGTCCCTAAAAGGCTGGTTCTCCTGAATCTCAGTTGCTGAGGGAGAGCCCACACTCCTGTATCGTCTCTTAGGAGCTATATTCATCTTTTTTCTATATGATGTCATTTAAGCATTACAACTGCTTCGTGTCAAAGCACATTTAAAAAAGTTAAAACATGATTTTCATATAAAAATAGAATGCGTATGTCCCAAAATATATTAAGCTCAATATTGAATGAAGGAACTAGTAACATAACAAAGTTGGTTTCCAAAAGCACGTAAGGAAAAGGGAATTATGTAGCATGCCAGGAAAAATTTTTTTTTAAAGATAGCAAATGTCCTATAAACAATAAAATTATAACCTTTGGTATGACTTTTTCCTATTGGACAGGAATCTAAAAATTAATATGTAACTTCATAATTATGGGGCTCTAATCAAATAGCAAATAGGAAAATCAAACAAAGGTACTTTTCCTAAGGGAATCAAATCATCCTTGCAGGCCTGGTAAATAATGACCCAGCATGACATTGAAAGGTCAAATAGTGATCCTCTTTATTGCTTATCATTTCTTGTTTATCCTCCAGGCTTTTCCTCTCTAGACTGAAAGCATTATGAGGTCAGGGACTGGTGTGTCTTTTCCCCACTGTGAAGAACTTGCACACACATAATGGGCAGTGACGGGCACTGAGTATGCAGTGAATCACTGTTTGTTTAGCTGAATTGAATTGAATTTTAGAAAAATGAGTAACTTGATTAAGTGGCAAGTGGCAGATTCCCTGGGATTTCTTTTTCTTTTTTCTTTAAAAAAATATATTTTTAATTGATTTTTTACAGAGAGGAAGGGAGAGGGATAGAGTGTTAAAAACATCGATGAGAGAGAATCATTGATCAGCTGCCTCTTGCACACCCCCCACTGGGGATGTGCCCGCAACCCAGGTACATGCCCTTGACCAGAATCGAACCCGGGACCTTTCAATCCACAGGCTGACGCTCTATCCACTGAGCCAAACCAGTTTCGGCTCCCCGAGATTTCTTATAACTGCTCAGTAAGGAGGTGTACTATTTCCTACGAGTGCTATAGCTATAGTCAAACTGGGCACCTTAAAGCCACAGGAATTGATCTGCTCACAGTTCTGGAGGCTTGAAGTCTGAGAGGGGCTGGCAGGCCATGATCCCTCAGAAGGCTTTAGAGAAGAATCCTTCCTTTCCTCTTCCTAGCTTCTAGTGGTTGCCAGCAAGCTCTGGGGTTGTCTTTTAGCTCCATCACTCCATTCTGCCTGTCTTCACATGGTTGTCTTCCCTCCATGTATGTCTGCATCTCTGTGTCTTTTTTTATAAGGACACCAGTGATTGCTAATAAAATATGGCCTCACCTTATTTATATCTTAACTAAATCTGCAAAGACTATTTTCAAATAAGATCACATTCACAGTACCATCAGTTAGGACTTGAGCATATATATTTTTAATATATATTTTTATTGACTTCAGAGTGGAAAGGAGAGGCTGAGAGAGCTAAAAACATCAATGATGAGATAGAATCATTGATCGGCCACCTCCTGCATGCCCTCTACTGGGGACCGAGCCCACAACCTGGGGCTATGCCCTGACTGGGTATTGAACCGTGACCTCCTGGTTCATAGGTGGATGCTCAACCATTGAGCCACCCCAGCCAACTTGAGCATATTTTCATGGTGGACACAATTCAACCCATTACAGGAGACTTGGAGTCAGAAGGTCCTGGGTGTGAATAGCTTTAGTACATTTAGTCAGGTAAGAATCTCTCTGCATTGTATCGATATGTAGGCTTTCTGCTTCCCCAGGTGTTGGGGGGAAAATCCTGTTCTTACATGCAATTTCAGGAGCCCCAGGCACTTATCATGACTATTTTGCATCTAATCACCTTGCTTTGATCTTTTATCTCTACTTCTTTTTTTTCCTTTTTTTTTAATTTATTGATTTTTTTACAGAGAGGAAGAGAGAGGGATAGAGAGTTAGAAACATCGATGAGAGAGAACCATCGATCAGCTGCCTCTTGCACACCCGCCCCCCCACACACACACTGGGGATGTGCCCGCAACCAAGGTACATGCCCTTGACCGGAATCGAACCCGGGACCCTTCAGTCCGCAGGCCGACGCTCTATCCACTGAGCCAAACCAGTTTCGGCTATCTCTACTTCTAATAAAAAATAGCTTTCATGTTCTCTGAAATGAAGTGCTTGCCTTTTACCCAGGTTCTAGTAAATAAGTTCTTATCTTGACCCTGTGTTATCTGAGGTTGTGGTAACCTGTTCAGGAGACCAGTTCTTCTGGGACCTAGTCCATGCCCTGATCTTGCCAAGGCACCCAGGTGCAATCAAGTACCAGCTGAGCTGTAAGTTAAATAGAGAACAGGGAGGGAGCAGGCACTCCATGGTGACTGGCAGAGAGAAAAGTGGGCAGAGATGGCTTGTTTTTTTGTGTGGTTGGCCTGGCATTCATAAGGTGTGCTTAGCAGATTTCTGATCGGATGGGTGTCAGTGGCATCCTATCATGGTGCCTGGACTAGAGAGGCCTTTTGGGGTTTGGGAGGAGTAGGAGCAGTTTTCAGCATTTGGCTGAAGAAAGCAGTAATATTCAAGTGTTTAGCTGTAAAAATCTTCCAAATTTGTTCTTTTTTTTTTTTGCACATCTCCTACAGTAAGCATTTATTACCCTGTTTCCCCGAAAATAAGACAGTGTCTTATATTATTTTTTTCTCCCAAAGTTGCG